TTCCACTTCCCATGACTGAGTGAGCACAAACCACTCAGCCTGTTTTTCTCATCTGCCCCCTCTTTTCTTTTCCACTTTCCCCTCCTACTTCCTTTCCTTGATTTTTTTTTCTACTCCCTCTCTCATCCTTTGTCCCCTCCTCCCCACTCTGCATCAATTCTGAGTTTTTACTGTAACCGTGGTGCAGGGGGGGTTGGGTTAGGTGGGGGTAGGGGCACACAGGAGATGTATGGGATGGGGGAGGGTTATGGTGCGAGAAGGGGAATCGTTTTCATTTCTTTCCTCGTCGTGTCCAAATTGGTCTAAACATATAGACAGTATGCGAGTGACTTTTAATCTTGTTTTGAAGTTCAGGCCCCTTTGAGATATGACATTTATGGATGTGTTCCCAGAAAAAATGTCCACATGCTTATCTGCCCAACATTTTGTACATAATTTCAGGGGACTCCACAGGATGTTTCTTCTTGCACATATGGTTCTAATTTTCTATCCTTCCTTTATATGAAGAAGTTTAAGTTCAGGATGCAAGAGGTTACTTTCTTGGGTTCTGTACCTGCCACGTCATCTGGACGTTCAGGCATTCATTAGGGTGCTTGCAACATGCTTCACAAATTATCTTTGTAAAAACACCAAGAGCAACACCAGCTTTCCTCATCAGCATTCCTCAGCTAAACAACAAGCTTTCCTCACCAGCATTCTTCAGTTAAACAACAAGAGAACATTCTGTTTTCAGAGTTAATATATTAGCAATATTTTTAAAAAGCAAATGCCTAACTGCCTTTCTCACTTTTCCTCAATAAGTATGAGTCTCAGCCACTCTAATCCTGATGCTGGCCGAGGTAGATTGCTTTTCCCCTTCTCTCCCCCTCCCTCCAATCTTTAATCTCTAGTCTGATGTTATCTGGGCCCTCACAGCTTTAGGATTTCAGGATAGTTGAGTATCAAGAACATTTCGGCCAGTTTGTCCAATTTTCCAACCACCCATCTTAATCACAAGTTAATTGTGTCTTTTCTAGGTGACTACATCACTTAAGCAAACCGTTTTATTTTTCTTTTCTGACTTTTCTTATCAACTAGAACAATCTATGCTCTCTCTCTGAGTCATGGGCTCCTTCTTTTATGAACATTAGCATGGTTACGTTATTGAGATCAGTTATCTATTGGGCAAGGCTAAATAAGAGAAATCAGGCCGACGCTCTATCCATTGAGCCAAACCGGTCAGGGCCCAACCACCCATATTAATCACAAGTTAATTGTGTCTTTCTAGGTGGCTACATCACTTAAGCAAACCGTTTTTATTTTTCTTTTCTGACTTTTCTTATCAACTAGAACAATCTATGCTCTCTCTCTGAGTCATGGGCTCCTTCTTTTATGAACATTAGCATGGTTACGTTATTGAGATCAGTTATCTATTGGGCAAGGCTAAATAAGAGAAATCCCAGTCAGATGACATGGCTTTCGGCATTCATAAATTGAACAGGCATTCATTAAAAGCCTACTGTGTGCCAACCACTGTGGTAGGTCCTAGGGACAAAGCAATGAACAAAATAAGATTCTTCCTCTTATTCTTTTTTTTAATATATATTTTATTGATTTTTTACAGAGAGGAAGGGAGAGAGATAGAGAGTTAGAAACATCGATGAGAGAGAAACATCGATCAGCTGCCTCCTGCACACCTCCTACTGGGGATGTGCCCGCAACCCGGGTACATGCCCCTGACCAGAATCGAACCTGGGACCTTTCAGTCCGCAGGCCGACGCTCTATCCACTGAGCCAAACCGGTTCTGGCAAGATTCTTCCTCTTGAGGAGTTTGCATCCTAGTGGGAAAGACAAAAAATAAAATAAACAAATATACAATCTAACATCAATTAAACAACAAGGACAGCATTCTTTTTTCAAAATTGACATATTAGCAATATTTAAAACAGTGATAAGTACAACAAGAAGGGGGATGCTATTTTGTTTATTTTGGGGGGGGGGCTATTTTAGACAAGGAGGTCAGAGTACGTCTCACAGAAAAGATCATGTTTTATCAGAAACCTAAAATAAAGTGAGGGAATGAGCTATCCAGATATATAAAAGAAAAACTGAAAGAGAGAGAGAAAGAGAGAGAGAGAGAGAGAGATGCAAAAGTTCCAAACTAGAAATGTTCTTGAGTAAAGAAACAGCCAGAGTCAGGATGTCCATAGTGCAGAGAGCACACAGCAGGGAGAGGGAAGGAGATGGAGTTGGAGCAGTACCAGGGGCTGGGTTAGCCAGAGTCTCTGAAGCCAGAACAAGGACTATGAATTTCTATTCGATGTGTGCTAGAAAGCCCTATAAGTTGAAAAGCAGTAGAAACAACATTGGGCATAGTTTTAAAAGATTACCCAGTCCATCGTACGGACGTAGAAGATTAGTTGGAAGACAATGGCGGGGCCCAGGCCAATGATGATGGTGGTAGAAGCAAATGAGGTTGGAAGAGCTGGGATGCCACATGTATTTTGAAGGCACAGCCAAGAGGAATTGCTGTTAGACTGAAAGTGGAGTATGAGGAAGAAAGGAGTCAAGGATGATTCCAGTATCTCTGCCTGAGAATGTGCGGGGAATTGTGAAGTAGTTTGAGGAAGGGGCTTTGGAATCAAGTTCATTTGGTAACTTAGAGATGCCTTTAGACCTCTAAATACTGAGGAGTACAGTGAAGGGTGAGAAAGATATCTCTAAGCATTCCAGAAAGACGTTGAACTGTGTAACTGGATGAGTGTGACTGGGAAAAAAGAAGAGGTCTGAGTGTGAGTCCTGAGATGCTCCCATACTTAGAGGTTTTTAAGAGCAGAAGGTTCCAGTCTAGAAGACTGAGAAGGAGCAGCCAATAAAATGGAAAGAAAATCAGGAGAGTGTAATGTTCCAGAGGCCAAGGAAAGACAGTGCTTCATGAGGGAGTTATGTACTGTGTCAGGTGCTCCTGAGACAGCAAGAGGGGGATGGAAAAGTGACCTGGAGTCATGGAATGTACAGCCACCCTGACAAGAGTGATTCCAGGAAGCAGGAGGGAAGAATGCCTGTTCGGAGTGGGTACAAGAAAAAAAAATGGGTCAGGAAATGGAGGCAGAAAATAGATACACACCTAAAAGGACTTGGTGATCATGAAAAATAGAGAAATGGGGAAATGGCTGGGGAGAGACCTGGGATCAGGGGATGGTTTTTTTAAGATTAGTAAAATCACATGTTGGTATGTTGTGTTAATGGAAATAACCCACACATATCAAATCACAATAAAACCCATGATGCGAAGGGTGGGGCAATTGTAGGAACAAAGCCTTGAAGTAGGTGAGTGCTCCATGAAGGAGGAAGCTAGCCTTCCCTGGGAGCATAGGCAACCCATCCAGGTAGGTAGGTCACCTTGGTGGTGCTAATTAATGGAAGTTCTCTTTTTATTTCTTCTATTCTTCAGTGAAATCGGAAGCAGGGTCGTCAGCTGAGGTTGTGGGTTTGAGGAGAGAAGATGTGTTAAATAGTCAACAGTGGGATCCCTTAAATTGGTTTGAACGGTTTGGGGTTTTTACAGCTGTTGTTGGTTCTGCTTTTTGTTGTTGTTAATCCTCACCCGAGAATTTTTTTTTTCATTGATTTTTTTTTTAAGAGAAAGTGGAAGAGGGGAGGGGAGAGAGAAGCATCAATGTGAGAAAGATACATCAATTGGTTGCCTCCCCACATGTGCAATGACCAGGCTGGGAATCAAACCTGAAACTCAGGCATATGCCTTTGACTAGGAATTGAGCCACACTGGCCAGGACAGCTCCACTTTTTTTTTGAAAAATAAAATAATTTCTTACCCTCAACATGATTAACTATCTTGAGGGTTTAGGGAGGGCTAGGAAACCACAGTTTCAACACTGGGCTCAAAACCTCCCTGACTCCACCTTCCTCAGACTTTTCTCATTTCCATTGTCTGAAATGACACTCTTGTAACCTTGGTCTCCTGGGCTCACGAGCTCAGAATCACTTCCAGTTGCTCTCCATCTGTGCCATGCCAGCATGGCCAAGGGTGAACCTGAGGAGGGACAGTGAAGGATTTAAAGAAGACAGACGAAGAGAATACAACTGGGGCTTGGAGGATCTTCCATGCCTGGATGAGGACACAGAGAGATCCAGCCTGCGATCTGATGCTTTATTTTATAGTCTGATTATAACAGCATTAACAAGTATACAGATGTTCTTGTTTTGGCAACACTTGCTGCACCTCCCACAGCCCATTCGCTACTTAAGAAAGAATTAGGGAGGGCTGCAAGGTCAGGCTTAATTATGCTAGGAGAGCTCTGCCCTCCAGGCTGGGACTTGTTTGTGGCCCTGCCACAGGTCAGTCCAAGGAGGCTTAATCCTATAGCCGCTCCCTACATCCATCCTTCAGAGTACATAGTGGTGAGAAGCCTGGTGAAGGAATTACCAGACCTGGATTCCAGTCCAGTTACCAGTTAGGTGATTTTCAGGAAGTCATTTAACTTCTCTATGCCTTAGGTGCCTTAACTATAAATCTCAGTTGATAGAATTCCCTCCCAGGTCAAAGAAACCCAGTGTCCTAGTTAGCTTATACAGCTCTATAATAAGTAACTTTAAAATTTCCACTGAAATATTACAAATACAGCAGGACCCTCTTGACAGTCTTTATAGATCACTAAGGCCTGGAAAGCCTACTCTGCCATTCCTGACCCACGCACCACTCGCCAAGCCCCACACCCTGGCATAGCGTTGTATCTTCCTGGGGGTAGAGGCAACTTTTTTCTCACTTAAACAAAGGCTCTGGATATAAAGTCACTTCACTGCAGAATTAAACTAGAGTCTAGGTTCTTCTGAATCCATCCAGTGCTTTACTAAGCCTTTCTTATCCCAGCCCCTCTCAAAGGCACCCAGTTTGTATCTCTTAGGTTCTGAGGTTCCCTTGAATTCCCAGGGATCCTGACCACCATGTGATTCTCAAAGGCCCCCATAATAAGGGACTGTCTTCTTCTTCCTCCCACAGGTTGCCCAACCATCTTCGGGCAGTTGGGAAGCAGTGTGCTGCTGCCCCTGATATCTGAAGGGATAAGTAAGAGTATGAACAAGAGCATCCACATGTTCATCACATGGGCAAAATCACCGGGAAACAGGTCCAGTAAGAAAATCGTGTCTCTTGATCTGCCAGAAGAAGGCTCTTCACGCTACCTGGAAGATGGCTATAAGTTTTACCAGGAAAACTTGAACCTGGAGATCCTGGAAAGCAAAAAGGAGCATGAGGGCTGGTACACTATGACCCTGGAGAAAACAGATTCAGTCCAGCACTTTTGCCTGCAGCTGAAGCTCTATGGTAAGAATGGTTGCTTCTCCACACTGGAGGGCCATGATGGTCCCTTGCCTAAGAACTAAGGCTTCTCTCAGAGGCAAAGAATAGTCAGAAGAGGGAGCACATGAAAGATCACCTAGTCCGGGGGTATTTAAACTGTACTTTAGAAGGAAGCGTTAGGTTCAAAAATCTTTCTTGTCCGAATTGTACATTGGTGGTAGCTGATTAGCATAGTCACCCTGACCCCACTTTCCCAAAGTGCTGGGGCTGACCACCAGACACTGAGTGACGGATGAATGATTATTCTGACACATGTTTCTGTGAAAGAGAGGGCTAAGGGACTGCCTGGCTAAAGGAACCAGACAGCCCCATTTGCCTGACTTCTTAGGCTTTTATTGTAGCAACAGCTTGAACTGAAATTAACTTCTAGATACTAACAGCAGGGTAAGCATCCTTGAGAAAACACATGCATCTGCAGTGTCCTTTAAGCAAGGACATCTGAAGTCTAAACATAGATTCCAATAAAACACCCGGGGGCTCAGACTTGTTTGGAAAAGTCAAGTCGGGGTCTGGCGCCTTCAACAAGGTTTCCCTAGAGCAGCGGTTCTCAACCTGTGAGTCGCGACCCCTTTGGGGGTTGAACGACCCTTTCACAGGGGTCGCCTAAGACCATCGGAAAACACATATTGTTTTTGTGATTAATCACTATGCTTTAATTATGTTCAATTTGTAACAATGAAAACACATCCTGCAGATCAGATATTTACATTACGATTCATAACAGTAGCAAAATGACAGTTATGAAGTAGCAACGAAAATAATTTTATGGTTGGGGGTCACCACAACATGAGGAACTGTATGAAAGGTCGCGGCATTAGGAAGGTTGAGAACCACTGCCCTAGAGGCCTCCGACCTTTCCGAGAATCCTCCTTACAGACTTTCCAACCAAGTCCCGTGCTTCCCACACCAAAGGAAAAGAGCACAGCTGCCTGTGGGCCAGGGGCCTGGAGCCCTGAGAGTCTCAATTTGCAAGTAAGATTTTGTTTTTTTAAAAAGGTGGCTTTTTCCCCCCTGATTTTTAAAAGTTTGAATAGCACTGATCAAGCTCCACCTCTCATAGATGAGGACTGAAATCCAGAGAAGCCGTTTGTACAAGCTTTCACACATCTGTGTGGGTGGTGGGAGGAGGAGAGCTGAAACTCAGCCCACGCACCATCCTCCAAGCCCTGTGCCCTGGCCAAGCATTGCATTTTCCTGGGGGAAGAGGCAACTTTTTCTCATTTGAACAAAAGCTCTGGTTATAAAGTCACTTAACTGCAGAATTAAACTAGAACCTAGATCAGTGACGGCGAACCTATGACACACGTGTCAGAGGTGACACGCGAACTCATTTTTTTGGTGGATTTTTCTTTGTTAAATGGCATTTAAATATATAAAATAAATATCAAAAACATAAGTCTTTGTTTTACTATGGTTGCAAATATCAAAAAATTTCTATATGTGACACGGCACCAGAGTTCAGTTAGGGTTTTTCAAAATGCTGACACGCCGAGCTCAAAAGGTTCGCCATCACTGGCCTAGGTTCATCTGAATCTGAGGCCAGTGCTTCACTGAGCCTTTTTAATCCCAGCCCCTCTTGAAGGCACCCAGTTTGTATCTCAGGCTCAGAAGTTTTCTTGAATTCCCATGGGCCCTACCACCATGTGGGCTGTCCTGCTGCCTTGTCTCTGAGGATGGGACAGGAAGCTCCACCTACTCCTCAGCATTTCTTTGAAATCCACAGGTCCCTACAGGAGAGACAGAAATACCCTCCTCACCCTTTCTCTGCCCTAGAATTCCTTTTCCTCCAAACAGTGTACGCAGAATTCCTCCAGCCCTCCAGCAAGTACCCGGGAGTCCTGATCAATCGCATGGTGGTCCTGGCGCAGGTTGCTGTGAGCGCGGAGGCTATACGTCATGCATATTCCAGAACAGTTCACTCTGCCTTTGTGATATCTTGTCACATTTCGTGATCAAATTCTTTCCTTGGAAAATATGGTCTCTGCAGCCATGATATTCTCAAGTCGAAGGAAGAAGCTGGATTTTTCAGTCAGACAGACCGAGGTTCAGCTCTTAGCGTGGCTGCCTATCAGCTGGGTGACATTAGAAAGGCACTCCACTTCCCTGGGACTTAGTTTCCTCACCTGTAAAATGGGAATAAGTATAACAAGGGTTGTAATTTTAAGAAAGTTTTTAGGAAGATTAAAGAATGTGATGAATGTAAAATGTCAGCATTGTGCCTGTCCTATAGTAGTTGCCAAATAAATAAAACGTTTTCCTTTCCCTTGCCAATTGCATGGCATTAGAGTGAGATAGATCAATGAGGCCTCTACTTCAGACATTCGAAAGCACTGGACACACACACACACACACACACACACACTCTGTCCTATAGTAGTTGCCTTTAATAAATAAAACGTTTTCCTTTCCCTTGCCGATTGCATGGCATTAAAGTGAGATAGATCAATAGGCCTCTACTTCAGACATTCTAAAGCACTGGACACACACACACACACACACACACACACACACACACACTCAAATTCTACCATGAAAAGTCATTCTTTTAGGTCTTGGAGGTGATACTTTAGCCAATGACAATTAAACCTGTGGGGCATTTATTAACTGCAAACTCCACAGATAGAATACAGAGCAACCCAAATCAGGCATATCAGGGAAGGCCAGGGGATCCACTGAAAGACAATTTTTTCTTCTCTATTTTATCCCACGGTGGTCCAGGCAAGGAGCACGTGGGGAGAGAGGGATGGTGCAGACCTGTAGGTCCCTGCTAGAAATAAGTCACACTTGCAGACCCATTGGGAGGGAACATGACACGAGGCTGCATTTTCTTCTAATAAAAAGATGAAGTCAGAATCTCAGGGGGCTCATGACAGTGATGACTCCCTTTCTCCCCTTATGACAGAGCAGGTCTCCACCCCAGAAATTAAAGTGCTGAACTGGACTCTGGAGAATGGGAACTGCAGCTTGATGCTGGCCTGCATGGCGGAGAAGGGGGACCACGTGGTTTACGGCTGGAGCACGGAGGCAGGCCCCCACCCGCCAAGTGCAGCAAATGCCTCCCACCCTCTGTACCTCACCCTCGGCCCTCAGCACGCTGACGATAACTACACCTGCACCGCGAGCAACCCCATCAGCAACCGTTCCCAGACCTTCACCCCGTGGTCCAGCTGCAGCTCCTATTCCTATTCAGGTGAGTGGTGGCTAGTGTGCCACCTTAATGCTATGGGCTCAGTCCCACCTGGACCAATCACTCTGCTTCTATAGCCACGGCCTTTACCTGGGTAGCAACGCTACATTTTCTCTCTAGTTTATAAAAGCCTCCCATGTGTATTCAGGGAGTGCTCTCTGCCCATCATGACGAGGCGGGCATTATTCCACTCAGTTCACAATTGAGAGAACCAATGAGAAATGATGGAGGCAGACCCAGAGCCCCGGTCTCCAAGTCACGATCCTTCTTCTCTCCTCTCGCGTTGGCTCCAGTCAGCAGGGGTGGCTGGGTGAGGGGGTGCAGGTGGCAGGTACTGACTCCCACATCCCTGCTCCACCAATGGTGGGACAGTTTATACCGTCAATAAGTACTTACTGATCACCTAGGCCCATGGTCGGCAAACTGGGGCTTGCTAGCCACATTCGGCTCTTTGGCCCCTTGAGTGTGGCTCTTCCTAAGCCTTAGGAGTACCCTAATTAAGTTAATAACAATGTACCTACCTATATAGTTTAAGTTTAAAAAATTTGGCTCTCAAAAGAAATTTCAATCGTTGTACTGTTGATATTTGGCTCTGTTGACTAATGAGTTTGCCGACCACTGGTCCTAGGCTGTAGGAAATTGGGAATACACATGACATGTGATCTGCTCTCCAGCAGCGTGTTATAAAGATAAGACATAAAACATTTGCTCAATAATGAAAAGCAGGATGTAATGAAGGACCACTTTCATGGAATTGACTGTAGATTCCATAGCGGGTAAGAGGATTCAGGGAGTCAGCTCTCTGAGGAAGACCTGGACTGGGAAGTGTGGGAATAATGACAAATGGTCTAGCACTGGATCATTGCAAAGGCACTTGCTATGGTCTCTTTTGATCCTCACAAGAACCTTGCCAGCATCATCCTCATTTTGCAGACAAGGAACTTGAAGCTCACGGTATTTAGCTACCTTTCTCAAGTTTCTTCAACTTATAAATGGCAGCGTCAGCACCTAGATCTTCTGATTGCTCCTTCACTAGAAAGAAAAGCACCATTATTCTGTTTTCGAAAGGAGCAGAGGGCTGATTAAGCAAGCCCACCTAGGCCCTGGGAGTTGGGAAGAAGATAAGCACTGACTGTTTTCACCAACATATGTTGTGTCCCTGTCTCGGGGACAGAGAACCGGGTGCTGGCCTTGCAAGGCATTGCTGGTGCCCTCTGTGCATCCCCTGGGAATCTCCAAGGAGACTCCTCCCACAGTAGGTTTGGAGTTTACGTGGAAGGATTTCCAAATGACCAGGGATGGAGAGACAGGGAAAGCCAGCCAGTTTATGCACTTCATTAGAGCATCTCCAGTTAGAGACTCACCTGGGTATTCCCACATGAACTGCTGGGAAAATCCCGCCTGGCCTCCAGTCCGGTTCCTTGGTGGACTGAACCCACCAGGTGTTGCCTCCCCAGCCATTCATGGCAAGTCAGTCATCTGCCCGCCTAGACATGTGTCTGGCTGCTTGCCCACCAACGACATTCAGAGGCTGTCTCCCAGTTCAGGCCCCTCTCCCTGGCCACAGTCATTCAGAATGTGCCGGTGGGACCAAGACAGTAGAGTTTACAGGACATGGCCCCAGAGGTCCCAGATCCAACCCTGCCCTTTTTGCTTACAAAGGTAAGTCACTTAACCAAGACTTAGATTCCTTCTCTGAAATCATAACTCACAGGTCTTCATTGTTTACTCTATGCCAGTCATGTAGCATCCTCTTAATCCTCACAGCAACCAAGTATCCCCAACTTACAGATCAGGAAATAAAAGTATAAAAAGATCACACAGAGCAAGTGACAGAGCTGAGCTGTCCGACCCTGGAACCCTCACAGGTACCAGTGGAAGACATCACACACTTAAAATGCCTGATAAATCACAGTAAATGTGTTGCCGTTTTTCCTTGGGGCTGAGGAAGCAGCGGCTCTGAACCCTGCACAGCCCTCTCTGGTCATAGCAGCCCTCTCTGGCCCATCTCAAAAAAGGGGAAGAACTCTTTTCATGCTTCTCGATGTGGTTGGATAGGAATTTTAGTGCATTCCAAAGTCTTGGCAGGCCCTAGAGCTTTTACTCGGGCACTTGACCCAGGACAGTCCAAAAAAAAACACCGTAAAGTTGCTCATATCCATCTAAGCTAGTTTCAGGACCAAGTATGCACTGGCCTGAACCAGATTTATCGAGTATTGAAGCAGGTTCCTGGAAGCTGTGGAGAGGCAGGCGAAGCAGACGCAAGGCGCCATGGGAAAAGCCCTGTCAGGGCCTCAGCTCAATCCTAGAGAACTACCCTGCACGGGGCAGCCCTTTCACTTTCTTGGGGCTCTGTTCTATCATCTGTAAAATGCAAAGGGTGAGCTGGGGAAGGTCGTTCTAGAGTTGATATTCTAATTCAGTTGGTGTGTACATTAATAAGAAATGCTCATAAGGGTTACAAAGGTGAAGGTGTATTAGTTTGCTAGGGCTGCCATAACAACAATGTACCACGATCTGGTGGCTTAACCAGTAGGAATGTATGGTCTCACCGTTCTGGAGGCTGCAAGTCCAAGATCAAGGTGTTGGCACAGTTGGTCCCATCTGAGGCCGTTAGGGAAGGATCTGTTGCAGAACTCCCTCCTGGGCTAATAGCAGGCTGTCTTCTGATGTCTCTTTACATTGTCTTGCCTCCATGCATATCTCTGTTCTAATTTCCCCTTCTTATAAGAACTCTAGAGGGCCGGTGCATGAAATTCATGCACAGGTAGGGTCTCTAGGCCTGGATGGCGATCAGGGCCCTTTGACAGCCACCTTCTTGCTATGTCTTCACGTGGTCTTTCCTCTGTGCATGCACATCCCAGGTCTCTCTTTGGGTGTCCAGATTCCTCTTCTTATAAGAACACTAGTATGATTGGCTTTGGGCCCACCCTACTGGCCTCATTTGAACATAATCACCTCTTTTAAGACCCTTTCTCCAAATACAGTCACATTCTGAGGTACTGGGGGGCTAGGGCTTCAACATACGCAATTCAGCCCATAACACCACCCCAATGACCTCATTTTAACTCGATTAATTCTGTAAAGACTATGTCTCCAAATAAAGTCACATTTTAAGGACTTCACCATATGCACTTTTGAGGAAACACAATTCAATCCATAACACAAGTAGGGATTCCCCTCCCCTGCCTATAGGGACAGGGAACCACAGCATGTCAGAAGCAGCTCCCACATGCTGTTCCCAATGCACCAGGTTGACTAAATACAGACAAAAAAAGTTTTACTAATTCATTGATTTGTGTTTGCAAATGAATTCTACTAATTCTAAAATACTGTGCTTAGTTCGACAAAACATATTGAGGCTCTACTATGCTCCAGCATTGTTCTAGGTCCGTGGTCGGCAAACTGCAGCTCGCGAGCCACATGCAGCTCTTTGGCCCCTTGAGTGTGGCTCTTCCTAAGCCTTAGGAGTACCCTAATTAAGTTAATAACAATGTACCTACCTATATAGTTTAAGTTTAAAAAATTTGGCTCTCAAAAGAAATTTCAATCGTTGTACTGTTGATATTTGGCTCTGTTGACTAATGAGTTTGCTGACCACTGTTTTAGGTCCTTAAGGAGGGAGATAGCTCTGTAGATAACTAATTATCCTGGATTGTGCAGGGTGATGGGTACAAAACAGAGGTATGGGCAAGGTAGCAAAGAGGAGGGAGTGATTATCGCTGTCTCAGGGAAACGAAAGGCGCACCACAGAGGATGTGACAAACTGGGTTTGAAAAATAAAAAGAAATTACCCACACAGATTGTTTTAAAAAAAAAGATGTTGGGAGAGGGAAAAGCAGATACAGCTGGGTCTTGTTCTGAATTATCCTGTAAGCAAAGATAACTAATAAAGAGTTAGATAGAGAAGAGTACCATGATCAGGTTTGCATTTCAGAGAAAATTCAGTAGTGTGGAGAATAGACAGGGGCAGGAAAGAGGAAGAAGAAATAAATTAGTTCAGGGGGAGGGGACATTATTGCAGCAATCCATCAAGACATGGTGAGGCCCGAACCTAAGCAGTGGCAGTTTACCAGACTTCAGACTTGGCATGAAGTGATGGGGTATGAAGGTCCCTTCAGCATCTACAACGAGTACAGTAATTTTAAGACATTTTTCACTTTCATTATGGAAAAATCCAAAATGGTTAATAGGGTGAGGAGACCAAACGTGATGTGAAATCAGCACTCAAGCTAAACGGCAGAGAACACATTTGTCCCTCGGATCATTTTTTCTAGTGACATTTGTCCAGGTGCCCAGTAATATATTCATCCTTATTCCAATGACCATCTCAGTGTTTTACGGTAAGAAACTTCTTAATGTCTATCATTCTGAAGGGTCGCTTGTTCTGAATTATCCTGTAAGCTAAGATAACTAATAAAGAGTTAGATTGAGAAGAGTAACATGATCAGGTTTGCATTTCAGAGAAAATCCAGTAGTGTGGAGAATAGACTGGGGCAGGGAAGAGGAAGAAGAAAGAAGTTAGGGGGGAGGGGCCATTATTGCAGCAATCCATCAAGACATGGTGAGGCCGGAACCAAAGCAGTGGCAGTTTACCAGACTTCAGACTTGGCATGAAGTGATGGGGTATGAGGGTCCCTTCACTGGCTCAGCAAGTCTAGGTTAGTTCGGCAGCAGAGAAAGCTGACACCTGCCAGTGAGCTCCCAGGGCTCTCCCTTTCTACCAAGGCCATTTCTGCCAACACTGAGCTGTTAATAGTATAAGGAGACCAAGCGTGATGTAAAATCAGCACTCAAGCTAAATGGCAGAGAACATATTCTTCCCTCGGATCTTTTTTCCTAGTGACATTTGTCCAGGTGCCCAGTAATATAATCATCCTTATTCCAATGACCATCTCAGTGTTTTATGGTAAGAAACTTCTTAATGTCTATCATTCTGAAGGGTCTTTGTTGCAAAGTCCAAGTCCTGGTGTGCTACCAAGCACTCTCACTGTGTCACACAA